ACCACTCTTTAAAGACATCAGCATTCATGTCCTCATGGTAGTCACCGGCACGAGTAGATTCAAAAATCAATAAACCACCTTTAACAAAACCGTTTGAAATACCGATGTGTACTATTATTAGTCTGCGCCCCTTTCCTGATGGTGGATTTAAACCAGTAGATAAATTATTTAAAAAAGCCTGTCTTCGACTTGTAATAGTTTCATCTTGCCAAAATTTATTTGGTTTATGTCCCTCGTTGATCCATGTTTCATCTAAATAAAATATATTTCTTCTTTGGTTTCTCATTTCTTTTATAGTCCTTAGGTAATTTCTTCTCCATACTACAATATCGCTTCTTTCTATTAAAATAGACTTTCTGGAATGCTTTTTCCATAGAAAACCTATTTCTTTTAAAAGTTTCCATAGTGTGCTTCGACTCATTTCAGGGCAATCCTTATCATCTCGAACCGTGGCAAGAACTTTGTCTACTGTCGGAAATTCTTTTCTAAAGAAGAACTCATGCACTTTCCTTCGAAGTCTTTCTTTCAAAAGATTTTCTAATTGAAATTTTGGTTTTCCTGGAGCTTTACGTGCTGTTTGAAACTCGCCACATTTCTCTACTTTAACAACTCTGTAAATCGTAGATTTCCCAACATCAAGCGTACTACTAACTAATTCCACTGTGTCATCAACACTTTAACATAAATGTTTGTCTGTAAATGATTTAAAACAATTAAATATTAATGTTTTTTCATTAACTGTTAAAGGACCGATTTTTTGTCGTTTACGCGGCCCTTCCAAATTTTCCATGATCACACTAGAATTCACACTGCACCTTGCAAGTTGCAACTAAACGACATTTAGTAAACTGTCAAGAATACACAACTTGGACCTCCTTACTAAATGGAAAACCTATAATCGTATTTTCGGTGAAATTTGTTGGGAAGGTATTTATCTACTTATAATTCGATTACTGTAACACATTCTTGGAATTAAAATAAAACAAAATTGGCAAATAGGTACTTATTGAAAATAATCTCAAGATACGGCTATGTAATCTTTAATACACAGTGCTTTTGGCCTGTCCAAACCTTTTTCTATTGTTCTGTACAACTTATGTTTATAAAGGACCAATAAAAGACCCAAAACTTGTAATAGCTCAGGTACATTTATTACAATTTTAGGAAATATTTAGATTATTCTGTAAAAATATTTAAAATGACCGTACTAAGTTTTGCATTAGAAATGCTGTTTTATTACTCTCTCATACATAAAAATAGACTATAACGTATAACACTTAACCGCACTATACTTTGTTGGCCTGGTCCTCTTGAGTCTTTTCATTAGATTGGCATTGTTGAGGAGCTGGATAATCTCAAGGTTTCCATGTTGGAGCAGTCGTTGTTGGTGACTACTGGGAAATTTTTGTATTGTATTTTCAATAGTTTCCAATCTAAGGTCCCTATGAAGATTAGTATTACGGCAGTACCAGGATGCATCGACGATGTTCTTTAATACTTTATTCGAGAAACGTTGAATAACTTGGGTGTTATTTTTACTGTCACAGCCCCAATTGCTTTATTTCCACCAATTCCTTTAAATGCACTAATCTGAAACAAAATATAGATAATTAAAGAGGATTTATTATTTGAATAACAATAGTTTTATTAATATTGTTTTAAATTAACTATAATAAAACAATACTTATGCCTAAACAAAACATAAAGATTCACCTAAGCAAGCATTATTTATGTAGTTCTACCTTAATTTCTAAAGACATATTCTACTTTCCATACAACAAGTTCACAACGCATGAATATCAAAAACCAACAACTTAAATCTATAATTATTTAGAATATAGGCTTATTTCTAGCTGGTGGCTGGACAGGTACATGATAAAATAACAACATATCCCATGTTCTTCTTACAAATCAGAAATTCGTCATTAATTGTTGGCCTTTTACAACATAATCCGTTTAGTAACTTTTTGTGTAACACCATGTTTCAGTGAAATATTTAACTAAAATATTTCAGAAACTTGTGCTTGAAACATTTCTGAAATAATGTGTGCTGTATAGGATGAACGATACCATTTCTTTGAAACTTATGAAAAAGCTTTTCACCAATAATTAACATAGCTATTACTTTGTCAAATAAAGCACGTACCATTTTGTTTGTGTAGATACTTAAACGTTTCATTAAGTATTAATTAAACTAAAAATTCAAGAACACCTGTAAAAACGTCAATTAAAAACACGTTTAAATCTTTAATAATTAAAGTCAAAACTGAAATGTTAGTGTTTATTTATTTTATTGATCAAGGTCACCGTAAATCTGAGCAAAATTAGTATTGCTACATACCTTTCAAATAAAGTGTCACCTTCCGTAAAATTCCATTTAATATTATTGGTTCCACTCGCCTTGTGGCGTCATCTATGACTATTTCGTCATCTGTTACCACTGGTAAAGAAACTTGCAATACTTCATTTTCACCCTTCAAATTTCATCAGTCTAAGTATCATCGTTTGCAAGAAAAGACGGGGTACTAAGCTTATTGTGTATCCTTCTAATGATAGGCACCCCCTAGCTCGTGAGTCAGCCTACAGATTTAATGTAGTTGACAACGTCGCCAAAAGAAGGTGAGGAGGTGATTTATTGTGGCTCCTCGGAGTTTTCTTGCTGGATGTCATCGGTTCCCATTTTGTCTGGCTCAACGGCCTTCACTGTTGGGTTTAGTTGGGGAAGGAAGTGGGTTCTTTGCAAAGGATTTTTCACTGGGCCCCTGCTGCAGCCTAGTTTACGACCTTTCACCGTATAGTCAATGAGGTGAACGAATATCTCACTCCCATTGATTTGACCTTTAGTTCCCATGTCTTAGTCTCCGATGTCGAAGGTGAAGATATGGCCCTTGAGATACTTTTTTATATTTATGGTGGAACGTGCACCATTTCACCACAGGCAAGTTTAAGTTTTGCCCCTCAAGTCACCTGTGCAAAACTTCCTACTCGTCAAAGTTAGCTTGCGCTTGCCCTGGTATACAGAGAGAGGCTTTGGTGAGCTTGGGAAGCTCGTTCATCCTTATAACAGCGAGTGTTGCTCCTTCCCATGTTTTTAGTTGGTACCAAGGTTTATCCTTGTATATTATAGCGACTTTCAGGTGGTTCGTAGCTGCATCCTTGTAGCTTATCCCAGACATAATTTTATGGTCCTGTCTGGGTTTTCCCCTTCCAGAGAAGAGGTGTCAGATCGCGGTGTTTTCTTGTTCCTAGTTGCGTCTTGTTCCTGGTCTCTTGTGAAGGTAAAACTAGCGTCGCTGCCTAAGTACTTGATAAAGCCGGTTTTGTTTGGTTTGGAGTAAGGGCGTTTGCTGAGGGTGGAATTTCCCATAACACTGCCTACCTGCAGCTTATCTCTCTTCCTCCTTTTTTCTTAGACCCAGAGATCCTCTTGCCTCTTCAGAGCCTGTTAGTGGGAGGTGAACTACTGTGTCCGTCTTCCTTTTTTGAAGGTATGGATCGCTGTCCAGCTTTCTGTGCAAGAGCTGAACTTTTTTGTTTAGCTTCCTTTGCAGAACGTGAGAATTGACGTCCCTTCTCCTTTTTTAGAGGTGATCGTCGCTGTCCAGCCTCCTGCACAGGAGTTGAACTTTTTTGTCCAATCTCCTTTACTAAAGGTGAGCGTTGACGTCCAGTCTTATTGAGTTCTTGTTTTTGTGTGTCCATATGGTTCCCACGAGTAGCTAGAGAAGGAAAGGTCGACCGACGCAGAGCCCCACATGCGCCGGCAAAATTAAATACAAGAGGGTGTCGGCAGCTTCCCACAGGGGAGCGTTTGCTGCCGCATCTGCCCCTGCAACAATTCATCCGTTGGGACGTTACCTTACACCTTAGATTGGGGGAGTTGGTTCGCAACGGTAGCCTTCGCAAAAGATTTGACAGTTTTTAGGCTGTTACTCCATTTATGTCTATCACTTACCAAGGAAATCCTGGCAGTTCTGTCTTATTCACCACCCGGAGACGCCCTCAGTCGGCAAGCGACAAAACTGTCACTTAATGTCAATACGCGGAAAACGTTGCCTTTGCGGTTGGATTTCGAAGCGCAAAATCCTACTTTGGATAGTGATAGTTGTTGTTTATGTTTATTATGCAACGTTTTACCAACTTTTTATAATTTTGACCGTTAGTATCACATACTTTGATTTTCTTTTACTATACGGAGAATGGTCGCACTGCGCAGCTTTCTGAGTGCCTTTTAAAAGGAGATAGAAAACTCCGCCATTTTGAACCCTTATTACGTGTTGCCTACATCTTGGCGCAATATTTTTAATAGGTGCGTTTTAATCATCCGCTTCTGCTTCGGAATTGTCGGTTTTCTTGTTTTAATCTGACAGGTTAGAACGACTGAACCGACAATTCCGGAAGCAGAAGCGGATGATTAAAACGCACCTGATATTTTGCTTGCTGCTGTCAGTGTCAGTGAATATTATAATCAGTTAGCTCACTCGGACCAGTTGAAAGTTCCAAAATAACATCCACTCCAGGGATACAAATTCAGGATACGCAGAAGACTGCTGTTTTATTGTAGGCGGTCATATATTGTATTATCCGAGTTGCACAGTGTATAAACTGAAACATTGAGATCAAAAGTGCCGACGCAGAGTGAGCGATCTGATTCTTTAGCTGCAAACTGTGTCACAGGGTTCAAAATGGCCGCGCCCTATGTTGGGCGTGTCGGACCTCTTTCTTGCCTCGTATAGTAATCAAAGTATGTGGTTAGTATGTTACTTGGGTTAGTTCGTAATGTCTCCAGCAGGTGACTATAGCATAATAATCGAAGTTTCATCTTCTTAAGCATATTATAATAAGAATGCTTAAGGAGTATGCAAATGTGAAGTTGATCAAATAATAATTCTATACAAAGAAATATGGTCAAATTACCTCGAAAAACATTTATAGATTTAATCAGAAATATTGAAACGAAACGAAGTGGATTTGCTTTTAAATACTAATACTTATGTTTGTGTGATTTTAGTAACAGTAATGAGAAACATAAGTTTGAAAATGAATGAAATGGTACTTCAAAAAAAGCTGGATTCGAACGGTTTACATTGTGCAATGCAACTGCCATTGCGAATTGCACAGGTATTTGGATTTTTTCCTATTTATGTGGGCGGCTCCAATTACAGATCTTTAAAAATTAAGTGGTTGTATTGGAGGATGTTTTATTCATTTATTACAATAGTAACATTTGCATTAGTTACTGCAGGGACTATTTGGAGACAAATACCAGAAAAAAAGAATATTTTAACCATTGGTAAGTATTATTATTGTTCTTTTTCTGGATATTTACTTAAATCGTTTAATGGAAACACGTTTAAAAGCGGTAAAAACATTTTTTATTCAATAATTTAAATAAGTTTCTAGTAACATTTAGGCATGAGTCCCACTGTTAGACTTATTTGTAGATTTACCTACTGGTAAAATTCTTGTTGCTGTTTATGGAAGCATTTTCTACTGCTAACTCTACCTGACCGTCCCAATTGAATGCTGTAATTTGTGATGTCTTTAATGGGCCCAAAACATAAAAATGGCTTAGGGACATCTATGATACTATTATGTATCTCCCATCTCTACTTTCCCATCTCTGATCGGTGTGACGCTGTGTGACGAGTCTGTGTTACTCCGATAATTGTTTTGACATTGTTATTTGAAATTTTAGATACTTAATATATTTTTTATATTTTTAGATAGTATGATTTTCGCTGCTAATTCTTTTGTAAGTGGCGTTTTGTTATTAAAACTTACAATGCAATGGCCAGATTTTGTAAAGGAGTGGTACATCATCGAATCAAGAATGGTAACAAATGAAATGAATGGAAATTTAAAAAAGCAACTCAATACAATAGCTGTAACTGTCATGATAGTAGCCACAGGTTAATAATGATAATAATAAAAAGTTATTCATCTGTGCGTAAAGTAATTTACTCTACGCAGTCTACGCACTAGTGTATAAAGTAATAACTGTACATTTTAACGAACATAAATTTATTTGAAGTGTACATTCTTAATTCCTATAAAACAAAATACAAATAACAAGGCTCAATAAATTAGGTTTTTACTTGTTAGAAATATTAATATTAAAAGTGCAATTATTACAATTATCAAAATTTATGGATTTGGCCTTTTCAAGTACCTACAGAGCTTGAAAATATTGGTACTCTAGTTTGACTATCGAGTGGTTCCACAAATTCTCTATGGGCAGATTTTTCAATTACGAGTTATTTCTTGAATAAATAAATCAATGGATTTGAGTTAATCTTAGATTAAAATGAATTGTGTTGTTCAAATGAAAAAGGATTATGATATCCCGGATTATGTTTTAAGATGTTGCCTACATTATTTATGCCATAGAACATCTATTTTACAATTAATAATAGTTGGCAACAAGTGTTTTGTGTTGGCAACAATTTTGCAACCATAAATTGTTAGTGAAAAAGTTTCTAGAAACTGGTGTTTTTAATCCTAATAAAGCATTGTGAATTTCCAAGAGAAGTGCATGATAAAAATTGTTTTGACCAAAATTTTGAATGTCATGCCATTTAAAAAGAAACCCTGTGGCTGTGGATAACATTTGACACAAAATCTTATCCTAAAAATAACTGTTTAGTTGCATTGGAGGAATAATTTCTTCATTGGTACTTTTTTAGGGTGCAAGGATGACTTGACATTACTAAATTTAAACCTTTGTTATAAGTTGTCTTTTTGCTTTAATTTCTGATACACCTGTATTGTAGATACTTGAAAAATATAAAATTGTTCAAGTGAACAGTTTATATACAAGGTGTCTCATTGAGAAAGGGATACAGAACAACTGAAGATTCTGATTAAAAATAAGACTATGCTTAGAATGCGAATATTCTTCATTTTAATTTTGAAGTTTCTTATAAGTTCCCAACAAAAGTACCTATATGATTTACTTAAAAAACATCAAAAAATATATATAGTTCAAATAAGTGTAACGTATCTTATGACACCAAAAACTTTTGCCAAATTTGGTAAAATTATAGGTAACTCTTCAGTTTTTCGGTGTCCCATTCTTAATAAGACACTACAAAAAAAATTTTATTATTTAAAAAAATATTTATTGACCTTTAAACAACACTATTTTGTTGTTTTGATGTCTTATTCTAGCAGCTTTATTAACTCTAGTTTTAGTGAGATATGTTAGTCGGATACTAACATATTTATCAACTATGCACTTGATTAATAATATTCTATGATCATCCAACACAAACTGGTCCAAACTGTGCTGCATAATATTCGAAAAGACATAAGAATTTATTAATTCTTTTAAAACTGATGTGCTGATAATATCAACTGATATTTTTTTCTTAGAGTCTTTCATAATTTTTAATATTTTTTCACATTTTAAACAAATGTTTATTACATCTTCCGATGGATATTGCAAACCATTTTTATTCTTTATATCAATGAATGAAAATAGAAACAAATCTCTAGTTTTACTTATTAAAGCATCTAGACATTGTTCACAAATGATTTTCTTTTTTAAATAATAAACAACATATCCAGAAATGTAATTGATTATATATTTGGAAAAGGAGGAGACTGGATCTGGTAAATAATCATGATCATTTTCAATAACATTCACTTTCTCAAAATCCTCAATATTATCAGACATTGCATATTCCTTTAAAGTAACATTTAACTGGCTTCTTATATTGCACTTTAAAATAGTTCATTCCTCCAAAGGAATACAATTTCCACGGAAACTATCTCTTAATTCAACATGAACCAAATTTTTTTTATGTGCAGACTGAAATTGCCTGACTGTAGGATTATTGTTAAAACCTCCATGAGACCGTATTGAACAAAAAAATAATTCTAAATTGTCTAAATTTTGTACAAAGGCAAAAATTTTAAAAACTTATTTTCTGCCATTAAATTATTGTATAGTAATTTAAGGCTTGCAATGCATGTTTTTAAACCTAGAAAGCCAGTGGATCTATCAGTTTCTAATAGAAGTTTACCATCAACATGTGTTCTTAAAGAACTAATATATTTATCGACAGAGTCAAGAAAAATACATGTATTATTGTAATTATTTTCAGATAGAGGTTTCTTATAATTGAATTGCAAAAGATTTCGTGAATTCAGGATGTCAAACAGAATGTTCATTTTTCAAATAAAATTAATTGTCGCCCCAGCATTTTTAAAATCTTCAATATGTAGAACGTTCGCACAAAAATCTAAGGCAGTTGCGACGCTTTCGCTAAATAGTTGGGTTGCAAGACGAACTTTCATTTTTTGATTTTTAAAAGCTATATGTTGCGAGTTTAGCTTATTTGCTAAGTGAAAAGATTCATTTTTCTGTAATTCGTGAAGTTGTTTGAAATACTTCCACTCAACAATTTTATTTTCTTCATTTACAAATGAATACTTTTCTGCTAAAGTATTTCTAATTAACTTTAGCATACGTGGCGGATCTAAAAATATAACAATTTCTTCATTATTTGATGGATTCTTGAAACTAGTTTTTAAAGTTGTATGATGTAAATTACAGCCCAAGAGTTTGGCCATTGTTAGATTATTAGAAGCACCATCAAATGTTAAACTTACAACACTAATACCTACTTCATAACATTTCTTTAAGCATTCTAATACCATCCCCTTTTTCTGTTCACCTGTCATACTTGAAATTAAAAAATATCCTACTGGAATTTTTCAGCTTCCATAGAGGAAAATTTACATTACAAACTGAAAGACCTGCGGGGCAACGGTAGTTTAGTAGGTATAAAAATTACAGCTTAAGGGTGGAGCCTAAATACTACAAAATTACTTCCGAGACTAAACAAAATCCACATTTATTCATAATTTTAACAATTGTATGTAGATACGAGGGATACGTATTCCAAACTCTAACGCGTGTAGTTTAGACAAAGGAACCGAAAAATCCTACCTCGGCTGCCGACGTTCTTGAGTGAGTCAGAGTTACCTAAATTAGGGGAACCAAAATCTTATTTGTTTTTCTTGGTGCATTGCGAGATATTGTTATAACGCAGTTCGATTTTTTAGAGGGTTTTACATTATTTTTATATTTTAATTTAGTGAATAGGTTTAGTTAGATTAAATTACATTTAGGAGTAAAGAGTTGTGAAATATAAATATAAATAACGAAAAAATAGACAATTGGTTCGAATAAGGTAATATCAATTAATACAGGGTATTTATTAATTGAGTGCCGATACTTAAGGGTGTGAATCCTTGGGTGTTAAAGTTTTAAGAAAAAAATAACTATTTTATCATAAGTTTCTTATCACTCTAGATACTTTTATAAAATTTTGGCCAAAAAAAAAGTGTTTCCACTCATGGTGGTTTTCTACCAAATTTCAACAAAATATCAAAAGCAGTTTCAATAAACTGGTTTTTATTTTCTTACGCGAAAAGGGTGCATCGTACGAAAGTACGTTTTTAAACCGAATTTGCTCCAAAATAAATAAGGATTTTAAAGATAATTTTGGTTTTTAGAAAAAGCAGTGGCGTACCATATTATTGTTCAAAAATATTCAGTTCAAACCCGGTACGGATGTCACTAGTAAAAATTTAGAAGTCTTTTACGACAAAAAGGCGGGATTGAAAGTGAAAGTTTAGTCTGTTGGTACATAATATACTATATTTATATATCTAATTTTTATTATTACACTGAATGTGACATGGCTTTTTTGTTTGCCTTTTTTGGATCAACAAAATATTATTTTAATGATTTAAAATAAATTGACAGTAATAATAATTATCTGTACTTTAACATATATACATAGTAAAATCATAAAACGACGCATCAAGGAAGCACCAAATTATTAAACTTTTAATTTACGTAACATGTATTAAAATTAATTTTAAAAAACCGACTTTAAAATCGTGCTGATGCTATCACCACATCTTAACCAAATTTATATGGGATCACCCCTGAGGTACCCCCTTACTAAAGAAAAGGATTATAGAAATCGGACAAGGTGGTAAAGAATTATCGCTGAACATACATAAAAAATGAAAAGTTTGAGGATTTTCTCATGGACCCAATTATTAGATTTTGATCAAATTTATATGGGACCATCCCGGAAGTACCCCCTTTCCAGCAAAAAAGAATCATTTAAATCGGACATTGTGTTAAAGAATTATCGCTGAACATACATAAAAAAAATATATACAGACGAATTGAGAACCTCCTCCTTTTTGAAGTAGGTTAAAAAGGATATAATAATCTATATTAATTGTATTAACTAAAAAACTACTATGTGGAGTTATATATATTTTGTTAAATTAATCTTATATGTAAAAATGTGGGTTCGGTTCCTAGAAAAGTATCTACCTAGTTCAATGTGCAGCCAAATTTATATTTATGATACAGAATTTTTTGAATAAATAAAGTTTTAGGTTTAATTAAACACCAAGTTTTATCAGGAATAACATTTTATGAAAAAAGTAACATATAAAAAGCAGACTTTTTGTGAGACACTATACAGTATGGTTCAAATGAAAGGAATAAATTCATTATAATGGAAGTAGTTGGTTTTTCGAAAAAATGCTCGGACAGGTCAATTTTGTTTACTTAAAGCGCAATTTTTTAAATAGAATTCAATTTTCCCCTACTTCCCATTTTTGAGCAGTGACGTCATTGACAATTTTTTTAAATAGTAACCCCAATTTTTTTTCTTGATTTTGTTAGATCTTGCAATTTCCTACTCGGAAACATAATATTTGAAATATCTTACATAACAATTGTTTTTGAATAAAAGTCATTTAAAGATTAGACACATAAATTTTATTTTATTTTGAGAACACAATAATTGAATAAAAGATAATTATTTGTAATTAAGTGCTTAATCTAACAAAATAATAATAATAATAATAATAA